TAGCCACTGTGAAGAAAGTTAACTCCACTTCAGCTCAAACCAGTACATCAATTCACAATCTCTGGTTTGATGATAATCAAATTGGACATGAAAATCATTAATGCTGATTAAATCTAGATACTGCACAATAAAGAAATACTGTGGTCTCTTGCAAATGTCTCTTAGGATGCTGGACACCTGGATTAATGAGACAAGATTATCATGCATTAAAATCCCAGCAGGTCTTCAGGAAACTAGTTTCTGCCTAGAGTATCAGCTGCTTCCCTGTTGTGGTGCCTGGTTTCAGGGTGGCAGAGCAATATCTTCTACACTCATTGCTGCTGTGTCTTGCACCTTACTTGTTTGACATAAGCCAAAGTGAAGCCATTGCACTGCTGTCACCTTGAGTGTGTTTGAATGTGAACGTGCTGTCTCACAAACAGGTCACTGCCCCTACAGTCTATGTTTTTCCTGCTAGGATGTACATTTGTATTATGTTTGGATAACACTGTTTAGCATGGCTGTAATTGCACTAACTAAGCTCTTACACCATGTACCTGAGGTCAGGACTTGAGTAGCAGTCCTTTTGACAAAACACATCCCTATACCTTCCTTTGTGAGGTGTAACTATTACCAAATTAGCATTTTTAAAAATGCTAGTAAAGTAGTTATTCCAAACGAATTAAATTTTATTTTCCACTGACATTACTTTAAAAAAACACCAAAAACTAGAGAAAAGAGAAAAGAAACCCACAAAGTAGAACACTTTTCCATCCAGTACAGCAGCAACATTGATGAACATAGTGAAAGTCAAGACATCAAGATTCAGAAAATAGGCAGTGTGTATTAATCAGCATCTGCTTCATCATGTCAGAGAAGTTCAGCCCACATCTGCCTCCATTCTGATGTTCCCCATAGGGTGAAATGCAAAGTGTCAAACTCCTAAGGAAGGTTTCTTTATTCCTGATGCTGTAAGTGGTCTAGTAGAAGGCTGTTCAAATAACAGATAGTTATCCAAAGAAGTTTGGCCCTTTGGCAGAAGGTTTTATCACACAGTAAGATTAAGTATTTACATAGAGTGGCCAAATATTACCCTTTTCACTTAGCACAATTCCATTCTTCTTGTGGTGTACCTGAAAAGCTATGAAAATGTTACTCAATTTCTAACCAAATGCTATATACATTATACTAGATGTCCTTGACCAGCAGAAGACTATGTTTGTTCACAGTATTTTGTTTAATATTACAATAAGTAACTCTTCATCTTCAGGTTTCAAGAAAATACTCTTATTCTATGAACTATGAATAATAATGTCTTGTCATACAGTATAGAGATTAAAGGCAACTGAGAGCAAAGGCACTTGAGCAAATCATAGTGCCAATTAAAAAATAACATTTCAGCCTCTTGAACGCTCTGAATACCTTCAAATTCTCCCTGTTGTGGTAAAAGCATGAGCTTGTTTGATGAAGAATAACAAAATAATTTCAGGAAAGTAAAGTGAGAATGGGACATATTTCATTCTATCTCTGCATCCATCTGGTTTCATATTAGAATATATTACATGTTCTGTGACACAAGAGAGGATAGCAGCACTTTTCATTTTGACAGCAGCTTGAGAAAATTACATATGTTATGAGGCAGCTCCAGGAACATCCACAGTGACTGACACACCTGATATTTTTGGCACATTGGCAACTAGATAACACACTAGACTTCACTTTCATCCTTTGCAAGGATGGCTCAGGCAAGTATCTCATCAGCATAAGAAATACTGAAGTCCAAATGTGCTCAACAATCTGAAGAGATAGTTTCAGTTGAGCTGCATTAACCATTCATCTGTAAGAGAAAACCACAACATTACAACCAGAATAAAAGCTGCTTTAATCTCCTCAGATACCCAAAGTGATACCATTTACAACTCTTGAGTTTTACTGTGTACACAGAACGCACTCACAGTTTCCTCCAGCAGCAACAGTGCTTTAAATTATAAAATATTTGTTGAGGTTATTTTTGTTTAATATGCTGAGTTCATATTTTACTAGTGTTTGCTTTAATAAATAAGAATATTTTGCATTTCAGTATAGACTTTTAGAAAAAGTTTAGATATGTCTCATAAGCAGATGAGCATTAACTCTCAGAAAACCCAACTTTAAGATCAGATTATGTTACAGTAATGATATTAGGGAGGCAAACATCTTGGTTTTTAACTTGTGCTGTAACATACATTTGAAACAATGATTCCCAAACATTTTCAGTTGCAAACCACTTGCAGAGAAATAATTTCTGTCAGGTCCAGTGCAAATGTACTTAAATAGCTGCAGTTTTATCAGGCTCAACTCCTTTCTAACTACTATAGGCTAGGCTGGAAATTGCTGCTCCAGAAAAATACCAAGTAGTGTTATTATTGGAAGATTAGATTGCAGTGAGGCATAAATCAAAATGTGCAGTACAAAGGCCCTTAAATTTCTACTTTATGTCGCTGTGAATATGTGTATTGTAAATAATGATTTAGGTTTAGTACTTTAAACTATTTGCATTCTGTGTTTGTGCAATTATTTACTGTGCTTCGTTAGCTGAATCTCCTAACATTTTCTGTCCAGATGGTTTATAGGAGATTGGTCAGAGTGCAGTAAGACCTGCGATGGAGGAATGCGTTCACGAACAGTTCTCTGTATCAGAAAGATTGGACCTTCTGAGGAGGAGACACTGGACAATACCAACTGTTTAACACACCGACCTGTTGAGAAAGAGCCTTGTAACAATCAGTCCTGTCCCCCACAGTGGGTTGCTTTGGACTGGTCAGAAGTAAGGAAATTTTGCTGTCTTAGCTCATTAGTAATAGTGGAGTCAGGAGTTCTCACCACTGACTACTAGTACGTTTTCTGTCGCTGCTTGCTAAGGATTAATAAGAAATTCAAAACCTCACAGGTTTAGTATTGAAGTTTTTCTTTTTTCTTGTTCTTTTTGTTGTTGTTGGGTTGGGGTTTGTTTTGAAAATGCATGCTCTTGCATGTCATAGTGCCAAAATCTACTTCATTTCAATTATTAATGTCGTCAAGGTTGCCCAGTTCTTTCTGTACATCAAGGTCAGTTAGTTACCTGTGCTAGCTGCTGGTTTCAGGAATTTCAGAAACACTGAACAATTGGAAGTACTTTTGTATGAACAAGTTTAAGAAGATTGGAGAGAAATATGAATCAGATCAGTCTGTGACTGATCCTAGAAGGCCTTTGCAGGTAGCATCTCTCAAATCCTAAACTTTACCTGGTTTTCATCCCCCAACAACTACTTTACTGAAGTCCAGGTGTATTAGAACTCTTCGCCTTCCTTTGTCATATAAAGTAAATGGAGACTATTAGAATAAACTGCAATGATCTGGCAATGCTATAGCCATAATTCATTCTATCCCATTCTCTGTGTGCTTGATTGATTTCTGTCTTTCATCCAAAGTAAATGATAAACCCCTGGAGACTATGAAGAAGGCTGTTGTGCCTGTCGTTACACAGATCTGTTCTATGCACAGACACTTTTAGATTCAAATGTTGTCACAATCTCTGGAAATCCAAAGGAGGAAGACTACTAATGTGACTATGAGTGCCCAAGGAAGTGGTACGGAACAGCTCTTACCACAGTTTGTTAATACAAGTAATGTAGTTCAATAAAGCACAGATTGGATGAGATTGGAAAGGACCTCTGGAGGTCATCTTGTGATCGTGTCCAACCCCACTGCTCAAACAGGACCACGTAGACCATGTGCAGATGGCTTTTTAATATCACCAAGGATGGAGACTCCATCTACTATTTTTCATAAATGGTCCAAGCATTGTGGCATGTAACAATGCAGTACCTAAAAGTAGTAATACCTGTGTCTGAAATTACAGCACTGTGAGCAGCTGCAGAGGAATTTGTTGTTGTTAATCTCCCTGCTTCTGAATTTCACATTTGCATACTGTCCATCTGTTCTTCCTAGCTGAAGAAACAACCTCTGTAGGCGATTTTGTTATTATTATTATTATTATATACAATTAATTTTTCTTCGAGCAAAAGAAAAATGTGTCAATTTCCTGTACTGTTCAACTAGTTTTGTTCTGTAAGGAACTATGAATAAAATGCCGTTTTAGTGCACTTTTTAATCAAATATCTTCTAAAATATTATGTAATTTAAAAAGGAAATAATTTCATCAAATATGTTTCTGCTTGTATTCTGAATCTCTTATTCTTTGCCATCCTCATAAGAAGCTTCAGTGTTTTTTCAGGCCTTCAGATCTAGCCTTTTATACATCAGGATTGTGTTTTGATTTTCAACAAAATCATCCTAACCTAAAGAGTCAAACTCTGCTAAACTTCTGGTTGTGGTAATTTTTAATGAGGATTGTGAAAAAGTGTCAGCTTCTTTCTCGTATGAGTTTTGTCTGTGTAGCTTGGCAGGCTGTCTTGACTGATGATGCCATTTTAATACAATGGGAAAAATAGCTTCGTTTTTATTTTTTCCTATTCATGGTTCCCAGAAACATAATGTAATAAAATCCCTATACTAATATAAATGTAAACATTTTTATATGTGTGTTTATGTGATTTTCTGACAGAAGCATGAAAATGAAAACAAGAGTGAGCTCATAAAATGAAGAGTTCAATACTCCTGCTATTGAAACAAATGGCAAACCTAGCTAATTTTCTCTGCAATGCAAGTCATAAAGCTTTTTTCATACTCAAAACCAGTAGTGCAAATAAAACAATTGTAGAACTCTTCTATCTGCTCACACACTTGTTGACAATCTGTATTATCACATATTTTTAATGTTTTCAGTGATAATTAACAAGAAATTATGTATCTTTTTGGTCAGATAAACAAAAACATTTTGTAAATACAGAGATTAAAGTCTGTAGGAGAATGTAAAAGTGCTTTTATCAAACTGTAGTGACAGTTAACGGTGTCTTGCCCAGCAGAATGTAATAATTCACAGGTAATGTCAGTTTTGTCACAGTTTTTCATGATTTGCAATAGCTGAGCTTTGTCAGAATTAATCTACCCACTGTAAATTGCTTTTAAAACTATTTTTCTAGGTCATTCAAATAAATTAAAAATTAATCCAAGGATTTCTTGGGAAGAGCCTCACCAGAGAAACACATTTAATTTGCATAAATGACTTCCACAGAGGGAGTCAGAAATTCTAGAAGCATTTAGTAATGGAAGGCATTTTATTCCTCTTTTGGTTTGTCTGGGTATTTTGTCCTGCATTTGTTTTGGAAACAATTTTAGGGCTTTTTTTTTGTTAAATTGTACTGATGTTTTATACTTTTAGTGATTTTTATAGGCAACATGTTTCCTTACTTCAATTTCATTTCTGGGGACCAGGTGTAGTCCACCATTAGTTAGTAGAATTCTTACAATGACTACAAAAAGGGGATTTAAAGGGATGTTGTTTTCTTCTGGAACCAGCAGCTGAGAGAAGACTTTCCTTAGATGGCATTTTAGACATAGATGAAAAAGTGTCTCCTCAAGCAGCACTAAAAATTGGATGCTCCTAGACTCAAATCTTTGTCCCCAAAGTCTTGCTTGTTGCTAACATAGTCTAGAGATTATGAAACACATAGGCTTTTAGAATATAAAAACTTAGAAAATCTTGTACTTAATAAAGCAATCATCATCTTGTTTATGTTTCTAAACTTCTTAAAATTATTATTATTGTGATTATAGTTTAGTTACAAGATCGTAGCTACATTGTCCTGTTTTATGTGACAGCATTTCTGACAGTTTTATTGACTTTCCGCAGAGATTTTAATCATTCTTTTATATCAATACTTTTGCCAGTGCACACCAAAATGTGGCCCAGGATTCAAACACCGAATTGTTCTGTGCAAAAGTAGTGATCTTCTAAAAACCTTCCCAGCTGCGCAATGCCAAGAGGAAAACAAGCCGCCAGTACGCATCCGCTGCAGTCTAGGCCGATGTCCTCCTCCTCGCTGGGTTACTGGAGACTGGGGACAGGTGAGACCCTTCATACAAGTCTCTATTGCCATTAGTCTCCTATATTAGCACATTTTAGAGTAAGATGTTACTGGAAATACATAAAAGAGGAGGTTCCCATGACTGAAATGAAAGCTTCTCCCCTGCGCATGTCAGATTAAAATGTGATTCTTTATGATGGTTGTCAGCCAGACTATAAAGGAGTTGTACTGGATGAGTTTCTGTATGCATTAAAAAAATTTTAAATGGTCCTTATTACTTCTTTTTGTTTGTTTTTAAGAGGATCTTGGGATACAGTAAATGTTGCCATGTTTAGTATTTTTAAACCACATTTAACTTCCTTGAGAAACATGAGAGAAGTACAAAGCCAGTTCCTATTTTAGCAACACGTATATCTCTATCTATCTCTGAAAAAAAGCTCCACCACTTTGAGATCAATATAATTTTGATAGAATATATTGAACTGTCAGACAGGGAGCCAAATTGTCACAGGTTGAGTAGTGCTGCTGTTATGCAATGCTTCTAAATATGATTTACTAAGTTTCCTTCTGTATGTTTTTGCGCCTTAGCTGTGATCAATGCCCTGTTTTTAAAATAGAAAACGAATGATCCAGTTTCTGTTTGCTGAGTAATTTGTCACTACTGAAAATAAAACACTTTAGCTTAACTAACCAGGGGACAATCATTTGTGGTGTGACAGCCTAGTCAGCTTTTCTTTTTATGGTAGTTGTTCAGGTGCACAATTATCTCAAAGTGATATTGTACTAAAATTGTAACTGTTTTGTTGTAGAAATGAAAAATGCTTTGAAATATTTTTTGATTGCAAGTTTCCTTTTTCCTTAAAATAAAGTCTGCCAGCAGGTTAAAACTCTTGTTCTCTGGTTTTTTTTCTTTGCACAAGTGTACTGTTCCCAGTTGCTTTCCTGTTTTCTTGTTTTGTATTTAAAAATTGGATTCAAGGCTTTTAATTCCCTTACTCTTTCTTATTTTGCAGTGTTCTGCACAGTGTGGTCTTGGGCAGCAGATGAGAACAGTACAGTGCCTCTCATACACAGGACAAGCATCCAGTGATTGTCCAGAAACTCTTAGGCCTCCATCAATGCAGCAGTGTGAAAGTAAATGTGACAGTACTCCCATTTCCAACACAGAAGGTAAGTTTGCCATCTTAATATAATTTATACTGGAAAGAGTAAGGTGACATGGTCACTATTACTGCATTGATTTATGAGTAAAAGTCCATATGGCACCATCACTCAGCTGTGAAAGATTGTTTTACAGTTATTTTCTGATTAGTCTTTGTAGTTCAATGGTAAAGTCAATGAAAACCTAAATACAGGTTCTTTGTTTTAAAAAATATTCTTAAAATATTTAGTCTAATCATGGACAAAGTGCAATTGTTTGAGTCATTAATTTTCCATTCTCTTTAACTGTTAATGAAAATGTTCATATTAGCAGGGGGAGCATGATATACTCTTCATCCACTAACCTTCTACCTGCTTGATTGTTGTTAAACATAGCAATGTAGAGGCAAAAGCAGTAAATTCCATGTTCATTGGAACACTAGGACCATGGATTTAATCCTGCATGGTTCTTATAAGAACAAGCCTGTTCTTATACTTTGACTTTCTTGTCAGCTTCTAATTATCTGCTAATTTTCTGACTCTATAATGCCTGTTTGAACTAATTACAGTATTTTTTCATTATGCAGTCTAATTTAATCGGACTATTAACTAGCATCATTGTAACATATTCTTGATAGAAGATACGTCAGATAATATTGTTACAATGAGCTTACTCATGTTTATTAAGTGCTTCAGATCTGAACTTGTAAATGGTCCACACCAACCTACTAGCAAATGTTGTCTGAGCACACTGAGTTAAAAGTATGTTTCCTCACTGATTGTAAAGCTTAGAATAGTTGTTCATCAGATGAATACATTTTGTTTTGTGCTGAAGGGGAAAAGGAATAGAAAATTCCCAAACACACATGTTCAAAAATCAAGAAAGATTACATAGCAATAATAGCTCTTCTAAAACAGCTTTTCTTGAAATTTTTATGTTCCCTAAATTTTGAGTATTTGACCACAGGGTCACCAGCACTGCTCCTTTTAACATAACTAATTTCTGTGCAGTGTATAATTGAGTATCTTTTACACAGATTCTCCAACTACATTGGAGTTTAATGACCTGTTTGTGTGGAACAAATGTTCTGATTTGAGTTTATTTTTTCACGTCAAGTTTGTGCTACAGTCTGCCTGGGTTTGGTGATCGTTCAATGCTTCCTGTATCCATCCAGGTCCACACCATGGATTCAAAACTGTCATAAACCTCTGTCAAATGGAGATGCCTGTGATGAAATAGGAGTGCACCAAAATTTTCCCAGAAATGGGCAGTTAATTCAGTGGATGAGCACTGTAATTTACTGCTTGGACGTTTAAATTTTAAGTAGAGGCTTATCATCCCATGTTGTCATTTGAAAAATGTCTTCGTAATAGTCTTTTCCTTGGTTACTTTAATTCCCATTCTTCCTGTTTGGTGCTCTCAAGAAATCTTTAAGTGATGATTATCAATCTAGGAAACTTTCTGCCCTTAAAAGCTCAAAGGCTACTTGATGTTTTATTTCCAAACACAGATGTTGTCTTTTGTCCAAGGCAAGGAAGGTAATAAATTACTTACAAGTGGGCATGATTATGTCCCAGTCTCCTCTTAATTTCAAGATGACAAGGTCACATTGTTATTTATACTCATTACATTAGTAATTCTTCAGTATGATCAGGAAAAATACGCTAATTCTTATAGAAGAATGCAATCAAGGGTTTGCTCTGTGTGATCTCTGTGCACTGGTTGGCCATGGATACCTTTACAGTAGAACTGTGCAGGTTAACTGCAGACAGTAAGTATGTTGGTAGTAGTGTTTTTAGGGGCCTACACCTACACTGGAAAATTTTTGAGATCCACAAATAGAAAATGTCGAAAATCACTTACATGGTACTCCAGATGGATGTCAGCTCTTTGGCCTGTGCTCTGGGAGAGGCAGGCACAAGCCAGCTCCTTGCTGACAGCCATCCAGCCTCATTAGCACTGGGAGGAGTCAGAGGGAAAAATATAGAGCACAATCTCTTCCGAAAAAAAAAGATGCATACACAACATGTTGTCACTTCACTTCCCATATTTGTTTATGTCTCACACTGAAGGTATTTATCTCATTCAACAATTTAAAATCCTTTCAGAAGAGTTTTGCTGCAATCAGCGAAACACTAATAGTACCCTATCCCAGAATTAGACAAAAATTCCATCTGCAAGGGGTTTTTTTGACACTTTTGCAAGTATTTCTTGAATTTATATTCTAATTTATATCTTCACTTCCCATATTTGTTTATGTCTCACACTGAAGGTATTTATCTCATTCAACAATTTAAAATCCTTTCAGAAGAGTTTTGCTGCAATCAGCGAAACACTAATAGTACCCTATCCCAGAATTAGACAAAAATTCCATCTGCAAGGGGTTTTTTTGACACTTTTGCAAGTATTTCTTGAATTTATATTCTAATTTATATACAGTTCAGAGATGCTCTTAAATATAAGAAGCACAAACAGGATTTGCAGAATAATGTGCATGTATAGCACATTTTATGCTTACAAAATCCTCATAGACACAAGAGGAGCTGACATCTGTGTTAGTAAAGCGTCAGCCTTTAAATATAGAGGCCAATCTTTTTCAGCATCCTAGAGATGATGAAAAGATTTCAAGATCAAATGAATCCTAAAGAGCACAACTATTTTGGGGGAAGTATTCTTTTCTAAGAAATAAATATTGGCCTTGTGGTATTTCCTTGTGAACGGGTTTGTAAGTGAGGCATACTGTGCCTCTCTGCTTGCTTCTGTCGCCCTGCAGGTACAGTGGGATGTGACCTGGCTATCAGTATTTGGGTTTCAGGGAAGGAGTCTTGTCTCCCAGAGGGAGAGTTCACCCACTTGAGAGTGCACATGTGTAGCAGACAATCCCTGCCTGCATAGCACTGCCGTGTGCTTTGGGCTCCATTGTGGGGCAAAAGCAACTTCAGCGGCAGCTCATACATTTGCAGCAGGGTCAGACTAGCTGAGGAGGTTCTCTTCTTATTTCAAGCTCAGGCAGAGCTGATTCCCTTTGCTTGCCAAACTCGGTTGCTTGCAGTCTATGGAACCCATTCAACAGTTTCTGAACAATTTAATTATGCTAACCAAAGGTAAAAACATACAGGTTTTTCAGGAAGCTTGAGCCACTCTGCAATATGATGATATTGGTAAGGTTTGGAAAATTTTACTGGGGACACTGCAGGTTTTTTATCTAAAACAATAGTGAAATTTGGGGGATACAGAAATACTAAAAGAATATTAGAATATATGTTGACACATTTTGCAAGTGCTTTAGCTCTTTGGGGTTTTTAAACTCTTAATTGGTGATCTTGATTATTGTAGATGTTGGTTTGATTCACTGCCACTGATGAGAGGGTAATCTGAAGGTGAACTACAGGCAGCATCTACCACACCATCTGAAATGTATTCAGAATTATTTTCTCAAGTACATATATATCTGCTGAAGGTAGACTGCTAAAGCCTATCTGAAAGTTTACCTGAAAAACTATTTTATCTACCTTTTACGTCATTTCAGATTTCCTTATGTTTTGGGTGATGCATATTTGCAGTTTCTTTAGCTGGAAGCACAGTGACATTCAATGGTTTTATCACTGTAATGTGATAGTTAATATCATAATATTGTCTGATCTAGCCACAAAGTTCAGGGAGGGAGAGTTTAATACATGCAGCTTATTGAAACTTGTTAACAGAAGTTACTAGGAACAAAAAGAGCTCTGCTAAACCTCTTCCATTCAACCACAGTTGTATGAAGAATAGGCTACATCATCAGCCACTATATCTATTTCAAAATTGATTTTTAAAACAGGAGTTATGGCCAACTTCCAGAATATTGTCTCACTGCTGTCCAAATGGCATTGGCTGAACAGGGTCAAGTTTTACTCAAGAGGAAGAATAATTTAAAGAAACTTGAAATAGAATAATTTCAACTCCCACATTTAGCAAAAATGCAGTTAGTGGCTTTACATGTATTTAACTAAATACATCGTGTATGAGGGTTATTTTTGGGATTGAGTGAACCTTTTGCATCTTGTCAAGATCTAGTGAAACTTTTTATTCTTCACTTCATTTATAATTCTACATCTGTCTCTCCTGTATTCCTAGTCTCCACAGACACGTGGTCCTGAAATATTTCTGGAAGAGATTTGGCCACTTTTGTGAAGAGTTTTTGAAACTCAGTGAAACATAGTGACCATGTGTGGTTGCTGATAGAGAAATACATCTGTTTCATCCAGCTACCCACAATGTCTTTTCTCCTGGCATTCAATTCTGTTTCCAAATTAGAAATAAAAACATTAGATGTATGTGCATTTACATTAGTATATGAAACATTGGGTAGGTATAGCAAACAAATTGCAGTGAAAGTGCAATACATATGTGTTAATGAAATGAAAGTTCAAATAATTTTCTGAGCTCTACTTGCCTAGCTAAAAGCTGCCATTATCAGAAATACTGTTCGGGCAGACCCTGAAGTTCAGCCTCATTAATGTTTGCCTAGGTTCAAATACTAAATGTTCACATCTGCACTTAACTTGCTACTACAGTATGCTTGCAAGTGCCATATCTACCTGTCCCAGAGCAAAAATAATGTACAAGGGGATTATATGTAGAATGAAGACAAATAGGAGTAGCTAAATGACTGTACATGTTGATTGTGTTTGTTTCACTATTGCTTTTCTCCTTTTCTTACCCGTTTGGTGTCTATTTTGTCTCTCTCATATTTGGTTTACAGACATCTCAGAGTCAAGGACTGTTGTTCAGTCATGCCTTGCACAACAGCATCCTAAATGCCTCCAACTAGAAGTCTTCACTTCTAGCTACCAAATCAATGCAAATTATGATAATGGTCAAAGCACTATAAGTCGTTCATTACCTTTTGATTCACTTTTTCTTTATAACTCTTGGAATTTGAGAAAGACTGTAGGAGGAATCCAGTGCCAAATGCAACCTTAAAAGAGTAAAACTTACAGCATTGTTTTGAGACAAATAATTTTCTGAAAAATGAATCTAATTTCAATCTTCTCAACATTTAATTTTTGTAATTCAAACTGTTGAGGTTTACCTTTTCTCTGTATACATCTCTTCCATCATTCTACATGTGAAGCAAAGCTCCTTGACAAAGTTCTGTTTTTAATAAGTGTGGAAGGACCTGTGCAAATGCTTTTAACTAAAAATCTGTCACTATTCACTTCAGTGAAAAGGAAATCTGCAGCATTTGAGCTGTAGAACCTGAGTGTAATCCTGAACTCTCAGCTGTAGCTGTATCTCCAGCTGCATCAGAGAACGAACTGAGCAGGGACAAAACTATTCCATTCCCTATTTCTACCTTTTTTCTACAGATGGGGAAAATGAGCCAGAGGAGAACTACATCATATTCCAGCAGTGCTGCTGTAATGTACCCCCAAAGTCAACTTAGATACAACCTGTGTGAGATAGAAAGGAAGGAAACCTTCCTGCGTGTGGCTGAGCTCTTGTTCTCTCTTCCTGAGAGAGTTACATGTCAGTATGACAAGGGCTGTTGAGGCAGTAAGCCCAACATGCAGGGAAAACACAGCTGTGAAAAAAACTTTTACATGTCTATTACATGCATAAAAATGGCTTTCCCTCCAGCATAAAAGAAGTTGTGGATGTGTGGAACTGAGCCTAAAGTGTAGTCCACCGTTCAGTCCAGTCATCAAACTCACATTGTTGGTGCCTTTATTCATAACATTCATCATTTTCTCCATCTCTGTTAGCTGCAATGCACATTCTGTTTCAAGGGTTCTTACAAAAGCAGAGGCATGGTACCAAGTAGTGTGAATCGTGGTAGATTTTGGATAACCTCTCGTGGATGGATAAAGTAACTCCTGAGAAAGAAGCTATAAAAGTATTGTAAAAAAATGACTCACATTTCCTAGCTGTCTAAAGTGATTATTTATCCCAATAAATGATAATTCTTGCAAGACAAACAGGGCACAATTCTAAATGTCTGAAAGTCCTGCAAACATGTTTATGGGTTTTTAAAATACCTTGTATGCACTAGGTTGGACTAGAAAGAGTAGTTGCAAAGAGAACAAGATGGATGGATAGAGAAGCAGGTTAAACATCAAGTTTTCTTTGTACTTTAGTTTTTATTTCTGATTTTTTTTTTTTCTCTTTAATGTTCTTAATTATTAGAGTGCAAAGATGTGAACAAAGTGGCATATTGCCCACTGGTGCTGAAGTTCAAGTTCTGCAGTCGAGCATACTTCAGACAGATGTGCTGCAAGACCTGCCAAGGACACTGACCCACAGAAAGCACAAGAATGTGCCTTGTTATTGTCATTGTGGAAGAGTGTCCATCGAAGAGAGCCACACAGTGGAATGAGATTGACGTCCTTGCAAATGCATTACCCTGTGGAAAACATAACCACTGGTCAGCCCCAGCTGACAGGATTTCAATATTATTTTAACTTCTGTGAAGTGGGATTTATTAATCCAAAGTGCTGGACACAGTATATGGAGGGGATGCCAAATTGGAAAGATCCACACAACACATATAGAATAGCTTACTGTGGAACATTTGTGTTCTTTTGACTAAATCCAATAGTCTGTTTACCTCCTTGGACCATTAAAATAATTTTTATTATGGACTTAGCAATGACACTGAATCCATTTCTATTTAAAACTGTTTAAAATGTAGTTGTTATGACTTGGTCTACTATGGAAGTATAGAAGAATCAAAAAAAATGTTAAGTCATAGCTTAAAAATGTTAACTATTTTATCTCTCGACACAGCACCACAATTTAAATTATAAAATGAGCTTGGAAATGTTATTTAAGGAGCAGAAATTTTAAAAAAAAAGAAAAGAAAAAAAAAGTATTTTTCCTTCATTCCACCTAATTCCCTTTGGAGTAATCCATGTTTCCTGAACACTGCTGTGAGCCATATATAAAGCTATACTAAATAGTACAACCATGAGGGACTTAGTTTTAAGAGGTGCAACAGTTATTGCAGTGGTGCATGAAATACAAGTATGCTATGAAACAAAATGAAATCTGCATTGCAGGTTTATAGCCATCTTACCATTGTACAAGTGGAACTGAGATTTCCACTGAAAGGGAACCTATTTCAGTATCATGGAGGAGGCAGGATCCAGCAGTGGTGAAGACTGTATTGCCAGCTCCTTCGCCACTACTGTGCAGGTTGCTTAGAACTTACACTTTTACTCCAGCTCACTTTTGTTTACAACACCAGCCACAAAGAGGAAAGACCTTTGTGGGCATCTATATCTGGTTTACATGTTATTTTTGGTTCTCCAGAACTAAGGAATTCAAACGCAAAGGATAAGCCTACTGTGTAATAGCAGCAGTCCTTTGCAAAGCTGAAAGTTAAAATGGATTCCAGATGTTCTCCTCTTTGATACCATAGCAGAAGTATTGTTCATGAGCAAGAACACATGAATGTTCTGTTCAGGAGACCACATCCGAGTGGGCAAGGATTACAACCAAAGAATGAGTGACTCATGGAGGTATCTAGATTTTGTTCAAATGAGAAATCAAAAGTGTGCCCTAACCAAGAGGCCTGTTGGACTATCAGGAGTGAGGCACACTGGAAAAGGGGTGGCTGGAATGAATTCTGGCCACCTTCACATGAATGGCCAGGTACATATTTAAAGCTGGACCATTTTTAAAGTAAGGGGCAGCTTTGAGCATGAGACTGGAACAAACATGCCTCTGGATTAGTAGCTAGATGCCTTAACTATTTGCTGTTATACTCCTTTTGTTTCATATTACCATATTTTTAATAGTCACCAAATACATTTCATTTTTAAATGTGAAACCAAACTATTTAGGCAAGTCACAGTCAGGAATCATAAAATAGTTGTCGTGCTCCTCTTCCCCTTCACTTTTCAGTAACAAACTCAAAAAGGAGATAAGGTGATATATAAACAATAGTATTGTTTATATTAATATATTGTACTTGAACACTTGCATTTTGCAGCAGGTACTTGATGAATGTGCTTTTGTGTCCAACTATGCCTACTTTGATGTAATGCAATTAAAATTATGTGAACAATAATGTGTTACAAATTCTAACTCAAATAGCACTTTTTTTTTAAAAAAAGTACTCTTTTCAGTGAGAAATAATTTCAAAATATGAGATTGAAGTGTACCAATGTATTTTACCAATCACAAGCCAAATATGTTGCACACTATGTACTAATGTGAATTAACGCGGAACAATAGATCTTGTTAACAGGATTCATACTATGAAATGCCCCCAACATGTTGACAATCTGTCCGTGGGGTTTTGTGTAGCCCGTGTACTCATGACCATCAAATTCCTGTCATCTGCTACCTCTTGCCAGTATTTCCACTTCCATACACTTGTGACCAGTGGAATTAATTTCCAGTTGGCTTGTGTGTATTCACATATGCTTATTATCTGTTGCTCTCATCACCGTGTAAAAAACTATCCTGTTAAACTGACAATGGTACATAAAAAAAAAAAATCCCAATCTTTGGGAATTGCACATAGGGGATTAAGGGCAGTATGTAGTCCTTCTCTGTTAAGTGAATTGACTTTTTATATCCTTTTGACAAAACACCTTGGTGCTAGCATGCCCTGGCTAGGTCAGAAATATGGTGAAAGGGTAAGGGGTTGTTGGGGCATTCCCTGAGCAAGAGACCTCTTTGTATTAGGGTCCAGTTTTCTCCAGGGCATGATTTTGTTTATCAGCTAATGTGTCTTTTCAGCTAACAAGAAAAGGGTTTTCTATGTATTGAAAAGAAACCTTTTTCTTTTTTACCTCACTTAGGACATTAAAATTTTAAGGAGTGCTTCCAAAGACACATTTTGCTCTCTTACTGGTGCTAGAACACCGGGGATTCAGATGTTTACTCTGCAATGTGTAACAGCACTGAGGTTGGAATTTAAAGAACTCCCTGGAGCAACGTTGAATTGTATTGTTAAAGGGAACAAAACACAGAATGTATGTGGATTTACAAACTAAGTAACACTTCAGACTAAGACTGAAATATGAAACCTAATTGAAAGAAAAGTAATTGGTTTCCACAGCACAGTTCATTGCTGCTGCTACACTGTAGCCATCTATATAATCTAAGCTAAATAGTGTTATATTCCTAAATAGTGAGAAAAGGACTATTTGTGTAGGCTATAAATATGACAAGCCTAGCATCAAATAGTAGAAGATGAAATGCAGAAACCAATCTGGTGCCAGTACTTCCACTGAGCAATACTATCAGCTGAAGAAGATCAAAACAGAAAAAAACCCCTAGAGATTAACCCTCAAGGTGTATACACCCCAAAATAGTCCATTTTGTTAGGAACTTTATAATGGAGTGAATGTCACATAGATATTCTTAATAATACAGACTGAAATTACCTTTGTATTATTGTGATTAGTTGCTTATTATTTTATACTCAGTATTAATGTGGTACACTGTTACTTTATTATTATTATTTTTGCTTTTGTAAATTATATCCTAATTTATTGTCATGTTTCTTAACACTTGTTCTACATGCATTCTCCTGCTTGTAATGAAAACAAAAGTATTGTAACACTTGATGCAGTGAAATTCCACACCAGGCACAGATTTGTTTTAAACATAGATAATTTAGTAAAATAAAACTGCAGCTTTTAAGATTGATATCCATGGTACAGTTGTTTCTTCTCTGACTTAAAGTTACCACAATTCTGTATGCTTAATGTTTGCTACATCGGATGCATCAAAATATAGATAAAGGTGTTTTCTTTCAAGTAGCATCTATGTTATGCTAGAATCCTGTCCTTGGCAGCACCAATGTTTGTCATATATAAGCAAGTGAGGAAATAGGGAAAAAGAAAAGTCAAGAATATGGTCCTGTACATTATTAGATAATATTTTAGCCTAAGCAATGTAGATCAAGAATGAAATTAATGGCAGCAAAAATATTCTGTACTTCTTGGAATTATTTCATTAACAGCCAGTCAATGATAACAATAAAATGTACTTCTTGCATTCAGCTTTTAAGGTTTTATCTGAAATTTATCTGAAGCCGTCATGGTTTTAAATACAAAGAAGAAAGTGATTTCAGAAGACTTGCTGCCCATGCCACTGTTGCTGAGAGGGGCTTTTTTCTTACCTACTACAGTAAAAATAACTTGTATGGAAATCACTGATCGAGTCCTATGAAATATTTCTTCTTTCTGCATTAAAATCTAGTTTCTAGTATAGTGAAAATAATCACTTTACTATTATGAGCAAGATGTTAAGGAAGTACAGACAACCTTAACTATTTTTGATAAAGTATTTACTAATTTTGTTTATTCCTTTTTTTATTCTATTTGCAAATGAGGATTCAAAAAACAATCACCTGTTTTAAAAGCGTGGGTATTTCTACCAGTGCTAGATCACAAAGTTTTATTGCCCTTCAGATCAGAAGTCAAAAATGGATCGGTCTTAGCAAATAAACAGTCTAATAAGTTTTCTCTGTCGTTGAAAAGCTGTTGACTTTCCTCCTATACATTCACACTACAAGCTATAACCTGATAGGTTTCCCATTATTTTTCAGCTTTTAGTATTATTCTTTGCCTCTGGAGTGTTTGTGTTTTGGATTATAATGACAAACTGAGTACACTGAAACAGATGCTGTTGTGTTTCTCCTTTTCTTCTCCTGCTGCCTTAAACTTAACATCACCCATGATGACTATAGAATTCCTGGCACATAAAATTCCCTTCAGTACTCTTAAAATGCATTTTTCCTGCACCTGAACTTCCTTCTGGAGCCAACCCTGTTATTATAATTATCTGTTACACTTTTGCAGTTTATTTCTTGAGGAAGTGAATGCCATTTTAAACTGAGATAGTGGCTTTTCCCTTCTCTGATTTCCCTTGCTATGCCCCAAAACTGTAACTTCATGAGTGATCTCCCAGTTCTATCTGCAGCTATCTGACCTACAAGAAGCACTACTAAATATCCTCTGTAGAATGCTGAACAGGCCTTGGTTATTTTCCTGACTTCTTTCTTACTTTTTTTTTCCCTGTTACTAGGAGCTAAGATCCAGAACTTTTCTGGATCCTCTTCTGTGGAGGTTTACTGCAATAGACTTTGGATGAGTCCTCTGAGCCTCATCTGGAGTCAGTCAGTCATCAATCTAAGAGCCTTGTAGAAGGCCATTACTAAGCTGACGCTGTCGTTCTGCGAGAAGTGACACCCTGTCTGGCTGTCTTCCCTTCACCACAAACAACAATTAGGTGAAAGGGATGAATGATTGCTTCTGTGTGGTCCTTCCAATCTTTGTCCTAGACAGACTGGTGTAAGAGCATTTGCATGTAGTAATCAGGATGGAATCCCAAACAGATTTATAAGGGTTCAGTCAGCCACAGAACAAGGTTCACTACAGCACTAGCGACTTGGTCATTTTCCCAAGTATATTTGGCCCAGCTAAAGTGGGAGTTCATGTCTAGTTTAGGAAACTGAGCCACTCAGACTGCAGTATGGTGTACATTTAAGGATACTGCATCCCTTAAACTGGCATAACACCTAAGCACCACACGTCATTTATTTTCTTCTATTTCTGCAGAGGACTGACATTTTCATTGAGCTGGACAGGCTACAGGACACGGTTTATGCTCAGAGGTCGTATAGCTGCCAGTCAGAAAAGTACTGAAATCTGCCCTGGAAAGGATATAAGTATGTATTTCTGTGTTAAGGGTGGAAAGATGCAGTTTCTACAAACAGGAAGAGCTTCTCACAGAAGACCCAGCAAGACCAGTAGATATATAATCTCACTTCTTTAGTAATCCTGTTTGGAATAAATTTATCAGATCACAGTTTGAGACAGAAAAGGAAGT